GAGAGAGAGAGAGAGAGAGAGAGAGAGACAGCTGCACAAAAATAATACTCACATAAATGAGCTCCCGTTCATATCGCAGTCTGAGATTCTTGAGGATGGAATGTTCATTCAGATCTCTGCAAAACAAAACGAAAAAACATGATTTAATTATTTATTTTAAGATAAAGAGTAGTGTTTGTTTTGATTTTATCATTGTACGTGTTTGGGGCATCTGGTGCCTTGCCGACTGGCGTGGGCGATCATGGACCTCCACTTCACTCTGTCTTGCGCTGCAGCGACGGTGTCTGTTGTTCTTGCTGCTCCCAGCCATGTTGTCAACTTGTCCAGTACCCGTTCCCTCTGTCTGCCTCTGCCTCTCTTTCCATCAGACTCACCTGTTGTTACAATATCCCCAAATGCTTCTTTCCGCATTGTGTGTCCAATGAACTTTGCCTGTCGCTTTCTTCGTCATAAGCTGTCGTCTGCAGTTTGCCTCAACCAAGACTTCATCATTTATTTTTCTAACTATCCATTGGATACGCAACATGATTGTGTCTTTCGAACCACAACTGTTTAGGGCATACACAGTTGTATAATATATCTCATGACGGCAGTAGTCTAGTAGTTTGATAAACGACTAGACTATAATTTAGTACCGGGGAAAGGGAAAGACAAACAGACAGAAACATATTGTGTAAAGAGAAGTATATCGAATATCGACAAAATAGATCTATCGGTCATTTAGTGCAGGGACCAAGCAAGACAAACAGACAGACAGACCAGATGGCGTAGCTGGGAATAAAGACACAGCAGATAAGAAAAATATCCTTTGCCTACTTCAAATCGTGCTGTGTCCGCGTTTTGAGAAAAAAAAGGCCATAGTTTTATAACTTGACAACACTATTGGCCTGGCGTCAAGGGCTGCCACTACAAGAGGCGTCTAGTTCTTGGGTTTAGTTTTAGTGAAGAGTTGAAGAGTGTTACGTCACTTGCAACACAAAGAAGTCACAATATAGGTGCTGAAGGGAGATTACACGTTTTACTAGATGGTAACATACAAAGAAAAGAAAGGGGAGAGATTACAAGAAGATACACGTTTCAAAAGAAAGACTGAGCACACCACACCAGAGCGCCCGCCAAAATCGTTATTATACGGCCCGCGATCGGATTTCTCTCAGTTATCCGCACCACTTTGAATCAAGTTTGGTGACCCCGGCAGAGTATGAGTAAGAGTAAAGAGAAACACATCGACACAATAATGGCCATTCAGCGCTGGGGGAAAGGAAGACAGACAGACAGAAACAACAGAGGGAAAATACAGCAATAGGACCGGCCAGCAGTGCACTCCAACCAACCACTCACCTACACAGAAAAGAAGGAGGAGAGATAATGATGATAGATGTTAGATATGTGAAGGAAGCAACCCAACCAGAGCACCCGCCAACCACCCAAGCACAAGTCTCTGGCAACGATTAAGCCACATGAGTGATTGATGGGACTAAATTCCTTACTAAGCGGTGGTATCGATTGGGTTTACTCAGGGTTTTACTTTTTTTAGTTTTAGTAGAGGTTTTACAGCGCTCGCGACTGCATAAGGTCCTATGAGCGCCAGAAGATTAGAGGTGTT